TTGTTTCGCTCTGCCATGTATTGGGATGTAGCCTGGAGGATGAACACGCGTATAGCAATCTCCCGCCATGGAGGTGAGATATCTCACCTCCATGGCGGGAGATTGCTATACGCGTGTTCATCCTCCAGGCTACATCCCAATACATGGCAGAGCGAAACAAAGACATGCAACCCGAGTGACCACGCTCCTAATCCTCTTGTTTTCCTAAATCGCTAGCTGGTCAGACCTCCGCTTCAGAAGCAAGTTCACACCACCGTTTGTCTAACGCGGTTTTTAATGCTAGCACGGTCTGCGGTTCTATTGGCTCCATGGGTAGTCTCTTCCATATGTTGACTGCCCTGTTGCTAAAGTAGTGTGACCGGGTAATCAATCGAGCCTGGGCCTTGGCCAGCTTCATTTCGTGTCCCCTTGTACGGAAATCTAGCGCGTCCTGGAACAGGGTTTCTGGTCTAATACCAGATAAAGCTTTCATTATGTTAAAGGTTTCCATCATATCACCCCTGAGCTTTCTCTTTTCTAAAGGAATAATTCCAGGTCCTGAAGCCTTTGCTTGTAGTCTTTACCTCGCTGACTCTCAACCATTTTCGTTGCTAGTCGTTGAACGCGCTCTAAACAAGCGGCATCCTTTTAGAAGAAGGATGACCATGCCTGCACACAGTACCCGAGGTGAGATCTAACTATAGCTTTGTACAGAGGCAAGATCACCTCTAGTTTTCTGCAAGACAGTACTGACCTCAATCTGAAGAGTTCTCTGTGAGCTTTATTCGCAGTTGTTATGCCCTGCTGAAATCGGAGGTTACGACGATACCCAGGTCCTTAACTCTACTAATCGATTCTATCGTAAACGGACCATGGTCTTGCACTACTGTTAAGCTTTCATCGGTCCGCGATAGAAACTGGCTTTTACCAGCATTCAGCGGCAAATCCCACTTCTGCGCCCAGCTAAGGACAGCAGCTGTCACTTTTAAGGTTCTCTCTTCCTTTAAATCCAACCACCTTGACATCTGGAGAGGTCACTCCAGTAAAAAACACGGTGAGGGGCAGTTTACCGGTCAAAAAAACCCCGCTAGATGGACGTAGGAGCGGGGTACCTGGGGCTTCCTCTCGATGGTGAGAGATGTCTTCGCATTTCATTGGACAGCTACCGCCCGTCTAAGCTGGGCATCCCCCAGCCAATAAGGTGCTGTCCCGTCCACGTTCCGCTTGTCTCATTGGGTGCATGAGGCTGAGGGCTGATACCGAAAAACGGACCGAAAATCAACGCACCAGCGAACAACACAATCAATCGAAATTCAAAGACCTTGCGTGACAGGTCTCTAGAAGCTCCCACACGGGTGTTTCGTTCACGCTAGCGCGTTTTATTTACGCCCCACTGCCTTATGGGTCAGACTTTTGAGTCAAAGGCTCCGGTTATGGTTCCCAAAGAAAAACCCTTCGTCGGTGTGGGCTACCGCGAAGTATGCCGTGCCCTAAAGTCTTGGGTACCCATTTGGAAAACCATCTTTCCAATCTGTCTAGTCCTTCTTCTCAATCCCGAATATTCCCAGGTGCCTCCTGCTTACGAGCCCCGTCGCATATCACCACCAGAGCGGGGTGTTCCGTGACCTAACGGGATGCAGGGGTGCGGAAGTATTGATGAGAGTCAGAGGGTTATCCCTGATTAAAACCCACGACTCCACAGTCCCATAGTGTGCTCTGTCTAGACCATGGTTTGAGACGCAGCCTGGAGACATTCGGGCTTCATGCGCTCATTGCGTCGCCTCAATTGGACCTGAGAAAGCGGAAGAGCACAGCCGTATTGGCACCGGATACTAGCATGGTCACTTCTGCCTAGCGATGCACCTATGGCAGTGATCCTGATTTCATTCCTGCTTTTGGTGAACACAAGATCTAAGGTGCTGAGAGAGTTACCCAGTCGCCATCGGATGGGGTCGGTGACGTGCTGGGTCAGCGCCAATTCATGCATCACCTCTAGTAGCTCATCCCCAAAGCTGCCGATTGGCGCATACTCCATCCCTCATTCGGTCTCAGGAGCATTGAAACCTCCCAAGACAAGAACCCTACTTGCCCGAGTTGTCGCGTGCCAGAGAAAATCTATCAGCAACTCATTTTTGTCGATGCCTGCGCTCGGGTTACGATAAACACTCAGAACTGCTAATCTTACTCCTGAGAG